AACCCACCCCATTTAAACCCATCCCATTTAAGACCCACCCCATTTAGAACCCATACCATTTAGACCCATTTAAAAAGAGGCCTATTAGGGCTACCCATTTAGAACCCATAAAATTTACATGTACCCATTTAAACCCATATAACCCATTTAGAGTAGATTCTTTTATTTATGTTTTGTTTTCATTTTTTCAACTTTTTGAACTCTAAATAATTATTTTGCAATAATTTGTTTCACTTGATGAACTCTAGATAAATGTAGGTTTTGACTTTTGAATCTTTGATTATGAAAATTATATGTTTTTTATATGTTTGTAATAGTCTAATAGAGTAATAAGTTAATAACTAAGTTGAAGGAGACAACATATAATTTTCAAAGTAATGGTCTTCCTCTCTCGTTGATAATCAAACCGGCACAAAGTGGTGCACTTCGTATCTTCTCTCTTCCTACAAAGTAAAGAACCAATGTAAGACAAGATTACAAGAAGCAAAAAAACAAAGAAACAAAGAAGCAAAGCGACTGTTATTACAAGCCACAAACACAATCAATATAAGCAAGAGATTCTAACATCAGTCAATATAAGCAAGAAATTCCGTAGCTAACAGAAACCATTATAACAAGGAAGGAGCTAATATTACCTCTATAACAACCAAAAGAACCTCAGACAATGCTAATAACACTGGCCAAGCTAAACTATTTGGCTGCAAGTGCTAAACGAGAACACAAGTGATAAGATATTACCTCAAATGTTCAACGCACATTTGAATCTTCTGATCTTGAACCCTCTCCTCCAGAAGTACCTTCGTTGCACATATCATCAACATCTTCTATTGTACCTTCATATTTAAAACAACATAAGGTGACCTTCCCCTAAAACAAGAACTATAAAGAATAGAGAGAATCAGTTACCTTCATATTCTGCAAATCCTCGCAACCAATTACGAGTACAAAGTAAAGCTTGGACGTTCTTAGGAAGCAAGCGACTTCGGTATGGAGTTAACACCCGTGCTCCAATGCTGAAAGCTGATTCAGATGCTACTGTGGTGATAGGGATACTTAGTATATCACGCGCCATCATCGCTAAATCACCAAATCGAGCTTGGTTTTCTCTCCAATAGTTTAATACATCCAACTTGCGAAAAGACTTTCTATCTAGCCTCTTCTCATCCAGATACACATCTAAATGTGTTCTTGTGTTTCCTACATTACTTCCAAGGCTTCTTTCCAATTCAAAGAGATCCTTAAAACGAAAAAGAGTAAGATGTTTAGATCCTTAAAACGACAATGCAAAAAAGAGTAAGATGCTTGAAACTTACATTGTCTAAATCATCTTCAAGAGGAGATTCATTTACTAGATCCTGTGGAGTTGGTGTAAATGAAGAACCAGAAGAACTGCCCCAAGTCCCAGCTTGATACTCTTTATAAAGTTCAGTCAAATTAGTCTTAAGCTCCGCAGTTTTTAAAGTAGAGGTAGAAGGATCCACTCTCTCATAAGCTTTCTCAAGAACATCCAACTTCAGCCTTGGATCAAAAACTGCTGCCATAGCCAAAATAATGCTGTAATCCTCCCAATACTTAGCAAATTTAACTTGCATTTCCTTAGCCATCTCCTTCAAATCAAAATCATCACAGCTCGCAAAATGCCTCAGTAGTAATTCAATCCTCCAAACTTCCATGAAGTACACATTAGATGTTGGGTACTTTGATCCTGAAAAGAGATTAGTAATTTGACTGAAAGGTTTCAGCAACTCACTTATTTTTTGCCCACGATCCCACTCTCTTTCAGAAGGTAACCACCTGTAGTGCCTGTCAAAAGTCGCCAAGCTTTGAAATGCTTCCCTAAACTTCAACGCTCTAACGAGCATTCCATAGGTAGAATTCCATCGAGTGGTGACATCAAGTGATAAACCAGAACTATCACGAATCCCCACTCGCTCTACACATGCTGCAAAGGCTTGAATTCTTGTTTGAGATCCTTTCACATACCTCACACTTTCTCTGATATTAAGCAAAAGGTCTTTCGCCAACTCCAAGCCTTCTTTCACTATCAAATTCAAGATATGAGCGCTACATCTGACATGTAAGTACTTTCCATCACTCAATAAGCCATAACCACTCATCATCTGAAGCTGTCCCTTGAGGATCCTCTGCATACAATCATTGTTATTAGCATTGTCTAAGGTAAGAGAGAATACCTTCTTCTCTATACCCCATTCCATCATACACTCCAAAACCTTGTTAGCAATCGCTTCTCCTGTGTGTGGAGGCATCAAATCACAGAAAGCAAGAATCTTACTGTGCAAGTTCCAGCCATCATCTATGAAGTGGGCAGTAAGACATATGTACCCCATGCTATTAGGACGAGATGTCCAAAGATCAGAAGTAAAGCAAATCCGACCAGTGTGTCTAGCAAACACTTTCTTCAGCTTTTCCTTTTCTACTTCATACTTCTTATAAACATCTGTTGCAGCCGTCTGTCTACAAATGGGCTGGCAGTCTGGATTCAGATACTTGTCTCGTGCTCTAACCTTCTCGTACTCTACGTATCTGAATGGAAGATCATGATAAATGATTATCTCACTAACCTTCTCACGATCTACCTTCTGATCATATGCAACCTTATCTTCCTTTGAAGGCTTCTTTGGACAAGTATCTAAGTGGCGTTGTAGATGATGAGTTCCACAGCTCACATTCTTTTCGTTACGCGTCACAAACTTCATACAACAATGCAAACATCTGGCCCTCTCTCTGCCATCAACTTCTACCCCCACTGATTCAAAATCTTCCCAAACCCGTGATGTTTTACGTCTCTTGCGTGGAACTTGAACTGATTCCCCAGAATGAGTTTCACTTTGCTGTTCTTCTAGTTGTGTAGCTTCTAAATGTGAAGCTTCCAAATTTATCTCAGCTAGAGCATCTTCTTCATTCATGTCTATAAAATCATCCATGCTGTAATTAAAAAATAAGAGGAAAGTATAAACTCAAAGTCAGTGACAAATCATACGTAGAGCTAGTAATATGATTCCTAATAACAAGCAACACACACATCTTATATTAACAATTAATAGATTAATACTTGCCATATATTAACAATCATCACGGTTTCATGACACAGAATATATCATATATGAAACACGAATTATATGTCAATCTCGTTGTAACAGAAACCAAAAAGACACACACACACACACACACTAAAATTAGGAGTATCTGAGATGAGCAGAAATAACAAAAGTCCCGTATCTTATCATGAATCAGTCACCAGGGAACTAAACTAAAGACTTGAATCAAATATACAAACGTACATAGAATACCACAAGATAAAGACTTGAAGCAAACAAGAAAAATGCAAACATGACAGAAAGAATAACTAAACAAGAACATATACAACAAACAAAAAAAAACGATACATAAAGATCCATATCGGTTTATCTTTATTGTAAGGCGGTATGTTGTTTATTTAATACTCTGTACTTCCTTAGATAAGAACTATGTAATCTCTCTTTGAATATTCAAAAGTGTACAAAATGTTACGTATGAAGTGACTTTAATAACGTCATTCACTAACCATTAAAAATCATTTTCTCAATTACCAAATACATTACATGAAAGATGAATAGTCTTTCTCATAATATATACGGTGATCCTGACATACTTCCTAATGGAGTAGACCCTGTAGAAACCTCTGATCTATACCCACTAGCTAACTTCTCAGGTCTTATCTCCTCCACCATTCTCACAACCTCACTCATGTTCGGTTAAAGCTCAACTCCAAAGCAAAAACAAGATCAAAGCTAAGCAAGATGGGAAACGATAGCATAAGAGAAGAAAAATAGCCATAATCACAGATCAATACTACTTAACCACAATCCTAAACAATAGCCATGTTTCTAGTACAAAGTACAAGGCTCTTAACCCATTCTTCACCGTCTAAAGGAAAATCCCTACATCAGTTAAACCTCATTACTAGCGAATGATTAGCAAGAATACCTTCACAGTCTGAGGTAGGAGAATGGAAACTCAGCTTGAACACGATTCCTGAAACCAAAAAAAAAATAGCAGAGTTACAAACATAAACTAAAACCCATTATCCATCGAACATGATATTCACTCCAAAACTCATTTTTTTATCTAAACCCATGATATGTTCAGAGCTACAAAGTTTGATCTAAACATACATCAATTTTTTATCTAAAAAGAGTAGAAGCCATTCCTGTAACCAACAAGTATCAGAATCTCTTAAAGCAACTAAACAACTAACAGTTTCTCTCTTCACCAAATCCAAAAACAGAGAGAGTTATTACTTACGACGAGAAAAAGAAGAGATGGGTTTGGTGTGGTCTAAGCTGAAAGGTTCAAAAACAAATCAATCACGTCACATGGGTTGGTAGAGATTAGAGAATCACAGCAATGGAAGGAGAAGAGAGAAGAGAGTAGAGACTAGAGAATCACACCTCGCAAACAATGTTTTCAGAAACGGAAAACGGAGACGATGGCTAGAAGCCTAGATCGGAGAAAACAGAGAAAACGGAGGTGATGGGTTTCGAGATTGGAGACGGTGGAGATCAGAGAGTCGGAGTTCACGATAACCCTTGCTCAGATCTCAAAGTTTTGTCAAACGTGAAACGACAACGTTTACTACAAAAAAAAAACTTTAATGGGTTAAATGGGTTACCATTTATGTTAGTTTAAAACCCATATAATAAATGGGTCATATATGGGTTACCCATATAAACCCAATTACTTAAATGGGTTTAAATGGGCATTTAATTTTTACCAAACCCATTAAAAGCCCGCGAATTCTAACCCATATTAACATCCCTACCTGTAATGCTTGGTCCACCCGGTAATCAATTTGGTTTCCGGATCGAATTGGTTTAATACAGATTACTTTCATGTTTTTGACGTAATCTCTTTCTTAATCTGAAATCATCAGTACATTGGGATTTGTGAAACACTTATTAAAAACTTTCAGTTACACACCACGTGGCATGATCACATCATCTCTCTCTCTTTGCTTTCTTCGTCCCTTCCCAGTTGTCACTTTATTACTTCATCATCTCTTTGCACTCGAATCACAGATCCCTCGTTCCTTATCTCTCTTCTCCAACTCTCTCCTCAGATTCCCAAATCTCAAAACCCTAATTCCCAAATCTCGCATTCGAATTTTCTTACCTAAATAATCTCAAACAAAACCATCATCATCATCGAGTGGATCATAATACACGGATTATGTAGTTCAGATCTCAAAGGAGTTCGAATGGTTGGGTAAAACACAAAAAATGGATCAGATGCAGACACACGAACCGAGAAGGGTCTGGTTTGGATTACAAAACACAATAGTTCTCCTCGTGGGTGGAAACCATACCTCCTCCAGGTTTTGCACTCGTTAAATCTCTTTCCTTCCTCCCGAATTGAATTATTCTACTTCCATTGAATCTCTCTCTTCCGAGTAAAAAAATCAAAACTTTCTCGATCTTTTTAAATCTCCTCGCGATGGGTCTTGAGCCTCTGAAGCTGAAACTAATGCCCACCTCTCTCCGTCGGCGCGTGATCCTACGCGCCCTCGTGATCCTCTTCGCTTTCTCTCTCGTCTCCATCATACGAAACCTCAACGGAGCTTCGGAGACACACCACCACAACCACACGCGTAAAGTCGATGACTGCGCAGTAAACTTCGCGTTTCTCGGGCCGTTCCTCTTCTCAGACAACAACGGCTTCCTCTCCAACAACCTCCTAAGACCTGTCTGGAACTATCTGGAATCAGAGAAATGCAAGAAAAGCATCAACTTGACTACTAAAGTCATCACAGAGCTTAAAGGTTTGAACTTTGTGCGTAACGATGATAAAACTCTCTGTATTGGACAGAGATCGGTTTCAGCTCTTCTCGCTATGAACTCACAAGGGTTCTCAGATGCTCGCGTGGCTTACACGCCACCTGTTTTCTCTTTCAAACACAGGAAGTTCAGTAATGGTGGTAACTACTTACTACAGTACGAAGACGCTTCTTTCGGTTTCGTCTTATCTACCGATGTTGTTGTTGAGACGGTTTCTTCTGTCGTTTATGAAATCGAGCGTGTGCTTAAGCCCGGTGGAACCGGAGCTATGATGCTTCTTGTTGGGTCTGACTCCAACGGGTTGGTTAGATCGGTTTCTCCTGTTTCTTCACTGCTCAAGAACTCGAGTGTTGTTCATGTTGGCTCCTTTGGTGAGCAGGTTTTGGTTGTGTTCAGGAGAAACAGTGAAGAAGTTAGTTTCGGATTGGATCAAACTCATCATCACATGCCGGATGATTGCGTTTCTGTAGCTAATAACCGACCTTACATTGGGTTGTTGGAGCCTCTTCTCGAGGAGAAACGGTCGGATTTCGAGAGAAGGATACATTACTTGCCTGAGTTTATTGATCTTTCGTCTAGGAAGAGGCTGGTTTATGTTGATATTGGTGCAGCGGATCATCTCACGCCGAGATCGGATTGGTTCTTCCCGTCGTATCCTATTGACAAGAAAGGGTTTAACAGCTACTTTGTGCATCACAACACGTCTATCTTGACTTCTTATGTCAAAAGCCCTGGTGTGACCTTCGTCTACCATCCGGGACTCTCAGGAGCAGTAGCTAGTCATGGAGAGGGGGAAGAAGAAGAAGCCTTTGTAGAAGAGGACAGCTTTGATTTTCTTGCGTGGTTCAAGGAAACGGTTAGCTTTGCTGATTTCGTGGTTCTGAAGATGAATACAAGTGACGCTGAGTTGAAGTTTTTGTCGGAATTGATAAAGACTGGTGCGATTTGTTCGGTTGATGAAATGTTTCTTAATTGCACTGGGTCTGGAGACTGCAACAGTGTTATAAAGAGCCTTAGAAACAGTGGTGTCTTTGTTCATCAATGGTGGGGAGACTAAGAGCTCAAGCTATGAATGGAGCTTAAAAAACTTAAACTATGTTGTTTGATAAGTTTACGTTGTGTTGTTTTTCTATGTTTGCAACAATCTTTGCTCATATGTAAGAGCAAAGCCGCAGAAGTTAGCTCCAGGGACTCGGCGCTTCCACGGATATACCTAAAATAAGCAGTCGCCATTATGTACTTTATGTATGTGTGTTATCAATGAAGTTGCTATGTTGTGTGTTTCTACTGGTTTTAATGGTCTGTTTAAATTCAATTAATCAGAAGACATGAACTCTCAATGAAGTTGTTATGTTATGTGTTTCTACTGGTTTTAATGCTCGTTTATTCAATTAATCAGGAGATATGAACTCTTAATACAGTACCAAAGTAACCTGATGATATACTTAGAAAGATTTAAGTATAAAATGGAATCAAAGTTGCCATAATGTATTTTGTAAATTGGGTTTCAACGACTGCATAACTACCACACGCAAGAACAACTTGGGAACTGATTCAGTACAGAGGAGAGCAACGTGGCAAAGCTCAGTTGTTTGAGAAGTTGGTGTTTGACCGTTATTTCCAGAAGCCTATCCACCGGTTTTCTGCAGATGGACAAAGGTTTATCTCCATTGATATGGCATCCTGATTTTGGAGGGAGGGTAAGAGATGTGATCCGCAGAGAAGATTTTTATTGGTGACCAATTAACATGTACTAAATGATTCAGGGTGTTCTATTTCAAGGCCACAANGTTTGAGAAGTTGGTGTTTGACCGTTATTTCCAGAAGCCTATCCACCGGTTTTCTGCAGATGGACAAAGGTTTATCTCCATTGATATGGCATCCTGATTTTGGAGGGAGGGTAAGAGATGTGATCCGCAGAGAAGATTTTTATTGGTGACCAATTAACATGTACTAAATGATTCAGGGTGTTCTATTTCAAGGCCACAAGTTTGAGAGTGAGCAAAAGCAAAGTATGTTGTCATAAGATATTTGCTTGAAGCCCCAAATCACTTCACTATCTCGAAGCTTTCAAGTAATAATGAATAAATGAGAAAACAACTTAAGTTGTAACATTTAGCTAGTTAAATCATCCGGTGATCTTAAATAATCATTTGTTCTAATGTTTAGCTTTAGGTCATGAAGGTTTGCCAATTTCATCTTTTGTTCCAAACTATTGAAGACCTAAACCCTAATTATTGTACTCTTAAAAACATGTTTAAGACGATTGAATCTGACTTTGTGAGTGCATGACTAATCTACACTTGAAAAAATATACAAAAAATAAAAACAATATGGATGAGCTCAAGATTTTATAAACATCACATATCAGAGAGAAAGCAATAAACTCAGTAAAAAGATCTTAACAAATAAACAAAAACGTATAAAAATTCAGTCAGAAAATCTATCTATGAAATCAAATGACAATGTTACAACTCCACGAAAGAAAAATCATGCAAAAGCTCAGCAATGTCATAGTCACGACTCGCAATGTAACTGAAAGTCTACTAACATAAACCCTAATGATATTAAAAAGATGAAAAGGGACGAGTTATAATAAGAAAGGACACAAGGACAGGCTCACAAGAAGAAGATACCAATTAATAAAGAAGATAATTTAGGATGATTCTGCAATGAACCCTAAGATTATACTTATGTAGTGAACAAGTACCAACCTAGAAATGATCAAGAAACAAGCAAAACCTAAACAAATCAAAGTTCCAGACCAATATCATAAAACATCAAATGAAACCTCAAATTCTCAAATTAAACCAACAAAAATATCCTTAAACAAAGATAACAAAACGCAACAACAACAACCCAAAAAACTAAAAAGATAGTCTTTTTTCCCTTCCCTTAATTCTCAGGAATCTCAATCTCACCCTCCTGAATCTCCCCCTGAAGATCCTTAGGATCCTTCCCATCAACAGTACACCCAACAGACACACACGTCCCCAAAATCTCCCTCACAGTCCCACTCAACTCCTTCGCAATCGACCTCGGCCTCATGATCCTCGCGATCTCAATCACATCATCAAACGATATGTTCCCATTATGCTTAATATTCTTCACCTTCTTCCTATCCCTCTCCGGCTCCTTCAACGCCTTGATCACCAGAGCCGCCGCGGACGGAACGACCGTTACCTTCGCCTGACGATTCTGAACGGTGAGCTTGACGGTGACGCGGAGGCCTTTCCACTCTTTAGCGGTTTCCTTCGCGATGTCTTCTCCGATCTTCTTGGGGGCGAGACCGAGGGGACCGATTTTGGGAGCGAGGGAGCTGGCCGCTCCGACTTCTCCTCCGGTTACGCGGACGTAGACGTCCACGATCTGGCTTGGGTCCAACTTCGGCGGCATGGTTGGTGAGTTTTGGGTTTCGTTGTTGTTGTTGCTGAGAGTGGGAGGCACAAAGTGAAAAATGGGATTTTTAGGGTTTTATGAAGATGGTGAGGTTTGAAACCTAATGGGCTTTATATTAGCGGGCTGATGTAAATTTACGGGTTTACTTCTAGTGGTGGCACGGCCCAACTCGAATATGTATGGGGGGTCTTAACTCGAGCACTTGAGCAGAAAGGTTAAAGACGAGGGGCATTGCACAAGAGCACAAAGCATAGAGATTAGAGTAAGTCATTCATTACTTTGAATCTTAGTCTTTTAGGTATGAGTCTGAAACTGCTTGTGTGAGATTAGTTTAGTTAGATGTTGTATAGACAACAAATACTGATTCAATAGTTTTTTAAGATCTTAAAAATGTTTCCTTACATAAGTAAGATATATATATAAAAAAAAAAAAAGTAAGATATATATATATATATATATATATATATAGCAAAAGGAGTTATAATATAAACTGTCAAACAATCTTTTAAAGTAATAAAATATTTTAAATGCAATATATCATGAATAAAATCTTTTACCATTTTACATTATAATACATTTAAAACATTATGTTAGCTAAATAACTATAAACTATTATTAATTCTCTTCATTCTTTATAGAAAATAATAAGATAATAATTATATAGAAAATTCTATATAAATATATGATCCCATTAAATTATAAATTAATAATTCCTATGTATACAAATTTTATATATAGAAATTTGTTATTATATTATTTGTTTTATATTCACAGTGATATTATCTTAATATATTTTTGGCACTTATTATATTAGTTAAGTAGTATATATACGTTTTCTTTGAAGAATGTATTAGCTCGGAAGGAACTCATCAACATGTTTAGGTATCTCCAATAGTGCATCAAAATGAGGCAAAATATCAAAAAAATGTGAGAAATCTCTTTCTAATAGTATATCACTTTGAGAGAAAAATGAGAATGTGAATAGTATCCCCTATATATTAAAAGAGAAGCATTACAATATTCTAACTATGGTACATGTCATAACTAAAATGCTTCTCAAAATTTCTAGAAAAAATATTGGTCCACATAAACATATAACATACTTGTACTAAATAACTATAAACTATTATTAATGCTTTTCATTCTTTCTTTAAATAAAACTATATATATATTATTTTTGTCTAATGATTTTCAAATTAAATTATATACCCTCAAAAAATAAAATGATCAAAATAGCCCCTTTTTATTTTGAAATTTGTAATATTTAGTTTTTATTTTTTAAAATTTGAAACCCTAAACCCAAAACTCCACCCCTTAACTCTACGCCCTAAGTCTAGAATAGTTAATCCAAAGATATAAGTGTATATTTACCCTTTAATAAAAAAAATATTTTGGTAATTTTCTTCCTTGAAGATTTTTTTTGTGAAAATAAATTAAAAAGGGCTATTGAAGGGAATTTCTCTAGATTTTTTGTGATTAATAATTTTTTTTATAACAAGATCAAACGATTATATAATCAATGAGTAGGAAATGTCATTTAATAGATATTCATATATATATATATATATATATATAATTTTCTAATGATGTTTAAATTAAATTATACACAATAAAAAAAATATAAAGTTTTTAATTTCAAAATTGCACTGAGAAAATATTGAAACTTAATACTTTAATTTCAAACTTTGAATTGATTTTTTTAAATGATTATGAATCACTATAAATATGAAACGTCTCATATTAAAGATTCTGTTATCAATGGTTTAAAAAAATTGTTATCAATGCTTTAAAATTTTTGTTATAATTTATGCAAATGATCATAAAATTATATATATATATATTTATGTTAATATCATTTATTTTCTAGAATTACTTATATTAAGTGACTGTAAATAAACAAGTGTGACTTTATTATTTATGTGAGCACGCTAATTTAATTATATACATAATATTTACTAATTTTTAATTATTCAATATATTTATATTTATTTTATTTTATAATATGTAAATAACACAATATAAATAGTTTGTATATACAATTTTCATTCGGCGCAAGGCGCGAATCTTAACCTAGTTATATCATATTTGATGTTGCATAATAGTCTCTAATTTTTTTTTAAAAAAAACAGTTATGCATAAACTAAATATTTACATAAAATATTACTTTTAAAACTTTTATTAAAAATTTTATGTAACATATGTATACTGATTAGACTTTTTATAACTTATAATTTATTTATAATATATTTAATAAATAATAGACTGTAATATTAAAAATACATAACTAATACAAAATTAAAACACATTTTTCGTTAAA